AAAAAAAAAAAAAAAAAAAAAAAAAAAATAAACACATCATGGTAAAATTAATACCTTCTCAGCTTCGCATCGAAGCTAAAAAACATATTCAAAGGATTCGACAGATGAGCTATGTTGGTTTAGTTACAGCATATTTTAAAAAACCTGAAACTGAACCGGACTTCATTGCTAAGAGATGGTCTCTAAAGTTAAGCAGACTGAATCCAGATCAAAGGTGTTTTGCGGAAAAGATAATTAATGATACTTTGTTTGAAGCAGAAATGGGCACATTAACGAGGCATGGAGTTAGTTTCTTAACGTCTTCACAATCTGTATTGACACCTTCGTCGTCCCCGACAACTTCGAACTTTAGATCCCCCTACTATTCGGCAAGTTGTGTATCATCATCTCCATCACCCACATCTTTACTTTATTCAAGAACGAGAATAACACTTCGAAATCCAGGATCGAATGAATATTGATGGCCGAGTTTGACGAGCTAATTGAAGTACATTGACGCGCGTGTCAATCTAACTCGTCAATATAATAATTATATTGACGAGTACAATTATTGACAATATTATTGATCGTGTAGGGACTACTTTACAAATTAAAACTGTATTTACTCAACCGCAAAATCCCCAATATTACTCTACTTAAATAGTTTAATAAATTTATATAACTACGGTTTACGTCACGCTTGTGTCCTCGTCGCTGCCTTTGCACGTATCCGGTTGGTCAGTTCCCTTATCAGGGAAAACTTGAATGCCCATCGATACATCCTGTACGAGTGCGGTGGCGGCAGCTGTCCCCCGCGGGTCGGCTCGGAAGTAGAGTTCGACTTATTCGAGACTGGTTTACTCCTTGCTCTATAATCGTCGTCTGCTATATCTAACGGAGTCTCCTCGAGCGAGACGGTAGAAGAACTCGACAGGAGGGTGATAGCGGCATGCGACGTCACCTTTCCGTTGAGGCGTTCGCCATCGACTCGGGAACTGCTAGTCCAATGGTAATGTCCGGAAGTAGCGTTAAAGCAGGCCACGTACGCTTCAATCGTCAATTTCGGGACTCAGACCCGGATCCGAGGACCAACGGGCTCTAAGGCAGATGACAATGCTTCGGCGAGTAGAACAAGTCCCTCATTGGACCTGGTCGTCTGAAGAGGTGGGTGGACCGGACTCACGATGAAATAACGTATCGTTTCACGCAAGTGATGTCCGGCACGGCTGCTTCAACGAATATAGTTTGCTATACCACATTTATTATGAATTATTAATGAAATAAAATAATTAATAAATATATCTCTAAGTATTCTATTTTTTTTTTAAGCTTCAGAGTGATAAATATATCATGAACCCACATAATAAGTTGAGAAATAAAAAAATATATATTTTTTTTTGTTTCCTTTAGGTATATGTTTTTTAAATTTATCAATCATAAAGTACTTATCAATTTAACAACTTTTGGACCACTATTTCAAGTTATTAATAATTTTAAAAAATGAAAAGCTAGTTCTGTTAATTTTATCATTAGTTATTTCTCGGCCACTCTCTCACCACCACCACCAAGGCATTAAAATAGTTGCGGAAATCATAAAAATATGATTAAAGTATAAGCTTTATTCTTGGTAAAGAATAAAGCTTTATTACTTAACTCAATTTAAGATGTCTGAAGAAATGGGTTTGCTTAGTATAATAATTATACTATATTTAATTATTAAATATGTATTTATAGCAATTTTAGCTATTTATTCAATTTAAAAATGTATTAAATAATAAAAATATGAAATGATTATGATCAAACAAAATGTAATTTTTTCGAGCATTAAATCAATTATAAGAATACAGCAAAGTATATTATATAAAAATAACTGTAAGAGTATTTGGTAATAATAAAACTTAAAAATAAATAAATATATATTATAATAGCTTCTTATGTTAATAAAGGCACAATGTAATTGATAGCACCCATAAGCAATTATTTTTAATACATAATCTTTTGACTAAGAATATAACTAATATGCACTTGTAAATATAAAAATTAATCTTTTGGTAGAACAAATTATTCAATGGATTATAAAAAACATATATATATATATATAATTAATTATTTAATTGAGGTGCATTAGGATTAATAGGTTGAGAAGCAGGTGGATATGGATTTTGGAACACTGGATTTAAGGGAGGTTGTTGCATGTTTTCAATGGGATAAGGAGATTGAATTTCAATTGGTGGCTGATATTGAGGATACACGGGTTGGCCAAATGGCGGTGAAGGATAATTTAAACCAGGATTAGGAGGTTGAATTTCATTAGGAGTTTGATATTGAGGATAAGCAGGTTGGCCACCTTGTGGTAGATATTGTTGTGGATTAGCTAATGGCATGGGTGGTTGAGGATATTGTTGGGCAAATCCAGGAACTGGTGATGGCTCCACAAATCCAAAAGATGATGTAGGATTTGGTGGATATATTCCAGTTGGATTTACTTGATTAGGAAAACTGAATTGAGGTGCATCTTGAGCAATCGTCAATGGGATATTTCCCAAAGTAATATTGATGTATAATGTAGTGTTTTCATTTAATCCACCAACACAACTTTCAACCTTTATAAAAAAAATACATAAAATGATTAACTTATTATAAGTGAAAAAGACTTAAATTATTAGAAAATAATATAATGAATTAAAATATAAAAGGAATATTTTTAGGTAAATTAAAGATATTTTCTATTTTTATATTTTAAAATATTTTTGAAATCTTAGTGGAATTATATCTACATTTTGGCTACCCAACTGACCTAGAAATAGTTCATAAATAGAAATTGGGTTATGAATGTTAGTTCATTAATTGAAAAATATTATAAGTTATGAAAAATATTTTATTTAATTTTCACATTTAAGAGACGTCTTTAATGCAGATTTTTCTATACATAAAATATTAAATTACTTTTAGTATATATTTTTCATTTATAATGTCACAATGTTTCAAATTAGACACTATTAAAGAATTAGGTATAGGCATTTGTTCTGTCCATGTTTTTGAACCATGTTCTCCAACACCACCTAAATTTAATTTAGCCAATTCTGCTGATTTTTTTTTAGTTCCACTTGGCTTAGTTGCTTTAAAAGTTATATTCTACAAAATCATATATTTTTTTAATAAAAATTATTTAACTTTAATTTTAACAGATATAATTACTTTTTCCAATTTTACTTTAACACCTTCAACTACAACATTGCTATTATTATCCAGTTCAATAGTTAGTGGTATATTTTGTCCAGGTACAAAGCCAGCATATGGTAAACATACAACTAATGTCATGGGCCCGGATTGACAACAACAACAACAATAATATTTTTCTTTTTCTTGTTTAACTGGCTCCTACAAAAATATTTAAAATAAATTTCAATAATTATATTAAAAAGTAGTGTAAAGATAAAAATAATTTTTACAGCTAAATTTCGCTCATCATTTAAATTCAATGGTGATATGACTTGAAATATACTTTTTGCCTCTTTATCTTTCCCCCAGGGTATATCAATAGTTACTTTTGCTTCATATTCTACTTTACCATGAGCACCATTGTAAGTTGAAGGTAACTGCTGAGGCAGTGTAATACTAAATGGGTAAACATGCTCACCTTCTTCTAAACGTGTCTCTCCTAGATATTTTAAAATATAATTATTAACTTTTTAACTAAAAAATTAAGTTATAACTTTAAATTAATTTTTAAAATACGATTTATATACAAACATTTTATTGAACACATATATATACTATACAGAGTGGCTTTTTAAGAATAAGGCATTTGTTTTCTTGTAAACTATTGAGCATTTCTAATTTTCATAAAAGAAAAATTTATCTGATTAAAAAAACTTCATAATCATATGTAGATAAATAATTTTTTTCATCTCTTCAAGAATAAAAATCTCTTATTTTATTACAGTATTGGGAAAATTTTTTTAATTATTAATCTATTTTATCAACAAAAAAAAAATGTTATTTTTATAATCCTTCTCAATTTATGTATACTAATTAATGTACAATTATACTTAAATATTATCTGAAAAATGTTGAACAGTTAAATAAATTTTGAATATTTGAAAAATCAAACAATAATAATATCAATAAAAATCATTAAAGTAATTGCAAGGGTAAAAATAATTTGATAATAATAATTTAAATTGTAAACTAGAATTTATCTAAATATTGTAGACCTCAAAAAAAGTAGTAATTTTTATAACATTGTGTTATTATAATTGAATTCATTATACATTCAAATATGTAAATGGAGGGTTAGGGAAGTTAACTTTCCAAAGTTTTTGTACTTCTTAAAATTTTGTATTAATAACAAATTATGTGTTATTGATTATTTTAAAAATTTTAAAATAACCATTTTTTAGCCTATTTTTTATAAAAAAATCTTAATGAGTTGATAATAGCATTGAGATAAGTACTTATTGAGTTTTAATAATACATTTAATACATATAATGGGTATGCAGCTTGTACTAGTGTATATTTATAACGCATACTATGCTATACATATTTACACTGAAATTGAATAAAAATATACAAATTTTCTGGTATTTGTTAAATTTTATTACTTATGTTACTAAAAAAATATCTTAAAAAAGCAAAGAATACAACCATGAGGGGTGTCAAGACCTTCAACTCATGGTATATATATATGTTAATTATTAGCCCTCAAACATTTTTCTTTATTTTCGTTTATATTATTAGCTTTGTTGTACAAACTAAGTGTGTGACTAAGCAATTTAACAGGGCTTCGTGGTTTAAAGGGTATTGTACAAAAGTGATGAGTAAAAAAAAGATCTTATTTTTCTAGTTAATAATGTAGTTTTTTTACTAAATATTTTCCTATGATAACCTTGGGTATATAGTTTGACAAGCAGATATAAATGACAGCATCATTACTTGTACAATCAACTTTGATAGTAAAAAGTAATAAAAATCTGGGAAATTGCTTAATCTTCATAATATTTTGATTAACAGTTTTTAGTATGCTAGAGAGAAGGAAAAATATTAACATATAATGAAAGTTATAAGAATGAAGTAACTAACTATTTGTTATAATTTTATCTAGATTTGATGTTTTGATTTTAAAGTTCGATCAAGAAATATAAATTTCTTTTGTACCTCCTCCACCAACCAAAGTAAATTTATTTTCAAAATATTCTTCTTCTGCTGTATAATCTTCTGTATAGTTATGAGTTTCACCGTTGTCGTTTCTACGGGTTTCTTCCTCAACCCATTTAACAGAAGCTTCTCCTTTAATTTTCATCTTTATACCTATAGATTCAATATATAAATAATATATACATAAGTACAACTTAGACATAGATAAAGAGTAGGCTTAGCCCTCAAGAAGTAGTCCTCAACACTGTATTTTATTTTTAATTAAAAAAAATATTACAATCTGTTTTAAATTAAAAAAAATAAATAAATAACATGATTGAGGAAATCAACTAGTAACAGAACTTCAGAACTAATATAAATACATTATTTTTAATTGTGTGAATTAGATCTAAAGTATGTCTCTAATCCAGTTTCTTTTTCCCAAAAATGTAAAATATTTTATATATTGTTATAAAAAAGATTTAGGATAGGGAGAAAATTAATTTAGCACCCCTAAAACTTTTATTCTAGTTAAGATTATAATAGTATATTAAATACTGTAACTCTTTCTATCGATAGGGAATAAGAATATTTCCACGACCTCTTTGCCAGTCGTAAGAGGCGACTGGTAGAGGAGTGTATCAGGCCGACAGCGGGCATAAAAATTTGGCAAAAAGTATGAGGAGTCCTGAACAATAGTATATCAAATACTATTATACATAGGATAGTATAATAAACTCTAAAAAAATTGTTTATTGAAGCAATATATGAAAAATGATAAAATGTGAAAAGTCCAAAATTGTTTCTCCCATTAGGTTTTTTGGCTACATGCTTGTACAAAAACTAATTGTTTCTTTATTTATTTTATTATTATGGATTAACGACAAATGACAGTTTTTTAAAAATATAAGCATTCATTTTTATAAAATAAATCCATAACTTACTTCTTATTTTTACAGACTCATTTGTAACAACTAGTACCCGGCCACTCACCGTTTGACCCGGCATATATACAGCAGTAGGATTATCGTAAATAATTTGAAAACTTTTCACACCCATTATTATTTTGGTTGTAAGGAAACTTAGAACAATTATAATCAACAAATGATTATTATCCTGTTATCAATAAAAAAACAATTTTTCTTTGATTTGACAAACAAATAAATTAAAATATTTTAAAAGTAAATTTAGTTATCTTTTATTGAAACTTAATTTTATTTTATTAAACTATAACTGTAAACTATGTAATTAGCAATGAATTGTCTAATTTTTTTTGGAAAGGGAAGGCGCCAGGATGTCGGTTTTCTGGCATAAGATCAATAGCGAAGTCAATATAAATAGTCGACGCCCATAACTCGAATTCAAATAACGAATGTCTTATGGTAATCGGCTAGTTTAAAACAAACATTAAATTTTATTTTATTACTCTTAAAAACATAATCCTCTAAGGAAACTTTCATTTTAGTTTTTGAGCAGACTCTTTTTATTGTTGAATATTTGTACAGAAAATAAAAGTATACATATATATGGGAAAGCACCTTTGCCACGAACTGATAATGCTCCGACATTTACATACTTCGACATTTGACAAAGTAGTAATTGTTACGAACATCTGGTACTCCGACCATCTGATACCATAGGTTACCAAAATTACGACGGATTTTACTCCGACATTAAATTTAAAATATGAGACAGTAAAAACTCCGACATTATCGATAGTTTGATTATGCATCGAAAGTTATATTATATTTCGATTGTATTATTGGTAATAGGGCGCATCGATCGTTTATGTTGCAACGTCAGCGTCATGTGGCTACAGAAACACTACATTATTAAATTAATTATTTTATTATTAATAATATTGTAAAATTTAAATTAAAATGTTCTATTCAATTAGCATTTATTTGCTACTATAGTTATTATACAATAATATACATTTTGCTTATTATTTTCTGGTACAATTTCTCACATTTGACATATGTTATTAATACTCGAATGATAATTGTCATTCATTAAGTAACATAAAATTAATAGTGTTTAATAAATATGTACATTTTTGAAAAAGTTTTCTCTATTGTTAGAATATATATTTATCTTTGAGAATTTTATTTTTTAATTATCCAATAATTACAAAATATTTTCATCAAATCAAAAAACTGTTAGTTAACTGTTTTTTCAGTTGATCCACAAAATTTTATCTAACCGTAACTTATTTTTTAACATTTAAGAGATCCATTTGAAAACTAATTTTTCTATAACAAATATGTGCTGTAAAAATTGTCATGTGCAATTTTATTAGTTATTAATTCCTAAGTGTGTAATATTAAAAAATAATGACTAGTATAAACATAAAATTGTTAATATTTGTACAATATAAAATTGGGTGTGTGGCGGACCCGTAAGGCTCGCCTGAGGGAATTTTAATATTTATTTGTTGTTCGGGTTACCGTCTGGATTCCCTATTGAGCTATCCGCACAGAGTCCTCCAAGATGTATATAGGAAATAGTGGTTATTTATAAAGAAATAAATTTAACACTTTCGATAGAAATACTGGTTATAATTTGTAGGAATTAACAAAGATGTTAAATAACATGTCACAATGAATGCGTTTATATATGTTTATACGTTTTATCTTAGATGTACTGTANTGTGTGGCGGACCCGTAAGGCTCGCCTGAGGGAATTTTAATATTTATTTGTTGTTCGGGTTACCGTCTGGATTCCCTATTGAGCTATCCGCACAGAGTCCTCCAAGATGTATATAGGAAATAGTGGTTATTTATAAAGAAATAAATTTAACACTTTCGATAGAAATACTGGTTATAATTAGTTAATTGTATTATACGAAAAATATTACGTTACAAGAGAAATATAACAATTAATATAAATGTGTATATAGATATAAAATAAACTTTCATAATAACATTTCAAAATAAGAATATGCTTTACAATTATAATGTTAGTCCTATAATGGTAGACACTAGACACTAGACTGACTATTGCTGCAAAATAGTCACACAAAGAAAACAAGGGGACATCCGCATACGGATGTCCCTATCAATCATACATATATTTATATTCACAAGATAAATTATTTTATAAAGTGGTGGTAACACAACAGGTGTTCTATGTCCAATCTGATAATATTTTATTCAATAATTTTGGATGTAGTGCAATAGGACCTCAAGGTTAAAAAAGAAATTTCTTCCATGTGTTCCTCATCATTTTTGGGGATGACTGGATTTTTTCCTGTGCTGCATTAGGATATCTAAGTATAAAATAACACAGTATATCCAACTTCAATGCAGTAATTGTTGAACACATTTATATAATACACTATATTTTTTAGCTAAACTAATGAAATGTTATAATATTAATGTGCTTATAATGTTATAATAAACACTAATAAGGAGAGGTAAAAAAGATTTTACGTCTGAAAATTGGAATCGCTCTTCTTTCCCCTCCAAAAAAAATTTAAGGGCTCACACCAGCAGAGGTGTCGTGGAGCGTATATGCGGGTATACGGCGTATACCCACTTCTTTGTTTTTCTGTTATTGCGTATACTTATAAAATCATGAGTGATACGCGGATATACGGCGTATACCCATAGTTTTCTTATTAGTGCATATACGTATTTATAAAATAGTTAAAGAGTATAGACTAAAGGATAAAATAAAAAGTAATACGTGGGTATCGAATATAGGTACGTTTGTCATAAAACACAAATTTTGAATAACTCTTATCAGTTTGTTTAATCTCTACAGTCATACCACATATAAACATATATTTGAAGTTATAAACACACAAATATGGCTCGAGACTATTATCATTTTAAAAATAGAATATAAATGTAAAACAAAACACTGTCAAAGTGTATAAATAAATATCAATAAAATAAATAGGATAATGTTTATCATTTCACGACAATTTTATTGACATTTGACAAAATTTAAAACATCGACCAGAAATTAACGATATAGCACATACTAAGTTGAAACTGAAAGTTATTGGGTTAACCTATAGCTGTTGAAATTGGTAATTTGTATTTTTCCATAATAAACCGTTTACCAACCAATCTAGTATTTAATATATTACCTATAATGAATTAAGATAGTACTAATATGTACCTATTCACGTTTATTTCATTTATGTTTTAACGATTTGAAAACAATGGTTGTAAGATTATTTTATTACTGCATAAAGTTTGTTTATTTATAAAAAATATAACAGTATCTAATATTACACTTATCGATTGTATGACTATGAAATTTAATTTATGTAAGAACTTAGAAGTGTCAGTAAAAATATTCGAGTAATAGTTTGGAAGTTGGAAGGAGCAACTGGGAGGGTTAGGAGTTTTAGTTGCATTATGTAATAATTAGAAAATACATATTTTTAACACAGTTAAAATATCACAATATTTGTATTCCGTCNTGTACCTATTTTATCAAAAGTCGGATACATTTCAGGGATCTTTATTGTAATAATTATTCGTTAATAGACAGTAATCAATTATAACGCTATTTATTAAATTAATAATTTAATAAATTAATATTAATTATTAATATTTATTAATTAGTGATAAGGGTTATATTTTTCCATCAGATAATATATTGCTACGATATTCATCTACTCCGAAATTTGATATTTTTTTAATCGCGAATAATCGATATTCGAAGCTAATTTCATTCGGAACAATTAATTAATAGTCCTATTCGGAGTATTCATCGTCGTAGTAAAATTCAAATTTTTGTAACCAGGTATTCGTAGTAATTGTTGTCGGAGTATATGTATTCGGAGGATTTTTTTAGAGTGTCGGAGTAAATGAATGTCGGGGCATCATCAGTTCGTGGCAATCTCCGTAACCCCATATATATATATATATATATATATATATATAAAGAGTGTTCAATAAGGAAACGAGTTTCAACTGTTCTCATTGTTTGCAACTATTGACATGCTTCTTTATTTTTGAACACTGCATACATATACACAAGTATATGCATTTGTTTTTATTTAGAATTAAAAAATTTAGGTGTATTTATTTATGGTAATATCAAAGAAGGAAGCAAAATTTTTAATGTCATTTTATTTTTATAAAAAAATAAACCTTTCCAGTAATCTGAAAAGTTATCTTTAATAATTGAAAATAAGACCATTATCTTCTAAATTTTTAACTCATTTCTATAATATATTGGCTTTTTGTAGTAGACATAATTATTGATTTTAAGAAAGGTACATATTTGTTTACTTTTATCTACTAATCATAATTAAGTTTACTTAATAAATTTCTTCGATAGAATTAGAAATAGTCTATTGAAAAAAATTCAGTTATGTAAATATTTAATAGTTTATACTATTTGAATGGATATTTAAAAATACCCATCAATACTTTTAGCTTTGATGCAAAGCTGAGAAGATATTAATTTTACTATGTTTTAGCTTCGATGCGAAGCTGAGAAGGTATTGGTTTTACTAAGATGTGTTTTTTTTTTTTTTTTTTGTGTCT